AAACCACCAACAGTAAAAAGAAAAATAAAACTAATAAGTCCAACATCACAAAGGCTGAAACTTCTGATTAGTAACCAAAAAAAGTACCTAACCAATTAAAAACCTTAACAGCTCTAGGGATAGCAATAATCATAGTAGCAGCACTAAAATAAGTACGAGTATCAATATCAAGACCAGCAGTATACATATGATGACCTCAAACAGAAGTACCCAAAACAGCAATTCAAATAGAAGCAAAAGTTATACTAGTTTGACCAAATAAACGATCCTTATCAGTCAAAAACAAAACAGCCTCACTAATAATCCCAAAAAACAGGCAAAATAATAACATAAACCTCAGGATGACCAAAAAATCAAAATAAATGCTGATAAAGCAAAGGATTCCCCCCCTTCTTAGTATCATAAAAAGAAGTATTAAAATTACGATCCAACAACAAAAATAAAAGAGAACCAGCCAAAACAGGAACAGACAACAACAACAAAAAAGAAGTTAAATAAGAAGTTCAAACAAATATACTAATCTGATCCAATGTAACAGCAATAGAACGCATATTCTGAACAGTAACTATAAAATTAATAGAACCTAATAAAGACCCAATACCAACAGTATGCAAACCTAAAATTATAACATCCAAAGATATCTCAGGTTGACCTTCAATTCTTAAAGGAGGATAAAAAGTTCAACTACTACCAGGTCCTCCACCAATAAAAAAAGATTGATAAACTATTAACAAAGCTACAAAAGTAAACCAAAAAGACAAAGCATTCAAACGAGGAAAAGCCATTTCAGGAGAACCCAACATAATAGGCAACATCCAATTGCCAAAACCACCAATTAAAATAGGCATAACAACAAAAAAAATCATTAAAACACCATGCATAGTCAACACAGAATTATAAACCTGACCACTACCAAAAAATAAATAACCACCAGGACTAGACAATTCAAAACGAATAATCATAGACAGAACAGATCCACCTAAACCAGCCCAATAACCAAGAACAATATAATAAGTACCAATAGTCTTATGATTCACAGTATTAATAATACTCTGCTTTAAAACATTACCAAAAGTCATTCCACAAAAAACATTCATGTTAAATAACAAAAACAAATCAAAAAAATTATAAGCCATTAAAACCAAAGGCAAACAAATAACAACACGACTATCAACAACATATCTAACCTTACTACCAACTAAAAAACAAACCATAATGTAAATTGAATAATAAAAAGAAACTAAATAATAAACAAATAAAAAAAAACACTAACAAAAAAAACAGAACTAACTAAATTTAACATCAAATATTCAGAAAAAAAAGAAATAGAGCCAGGAAAACCAAAATTAGAAATCATAGTTAAACAAAATCCAAAACAAAACAACATACTAACATTAAAATACCCACGCAAATAATAAACTAAACGACTACTAGCAATATGATAAAATTCCCCAATAAAATAAAACATCAAAACAGAAGTATACCCATGAGCCAACATCATAACCAAAGCCATAGATTTACCATAATAAACCATACTAACTTGAGATAACAAAACAAATCCCATATGACAAATAGATGAATAAGCAGCTAAAGATTTACAATCACTCTGAACCACACAAATAAAAGAACAAAAAACCATACTAATCAAAGAAAAAAAAAACAACAACTCAATACCAAAAAAATTCAAAGACTTACTAATACGATAAACACCTACCCCTCCTAACTTTAATATAACACCAGCTAAAATCATACTAGCTCTAGTAGGAGCCTCAACATGAACCTTAGGCAATCAAACATGCAAAAAATAAACAGGAAACTTAACTAAAAAACATAATCTCAATAAAAAAATAAACTCAAAAGACACAAAAAAATCATAATAAACAAAATTAAAAAAATAAAATACATGACTATAAAAAACAAATAAGGTATACCAAAAAACAAAGTATAAAAAACCAAATAATAACAAGCCCTAATTTTCTCAACCTGACGTCCGTACCCAAGCAAACAAAACAAAATAGGCAATATAGTCAATTCATAAAAAACATATAGCAACAACAATCTACCAGAATAAAAAAACAAACACTAAAAAAACAACAAGACAACTATAAAAAACTAAACTACTTAGCAACTCAGAGACACAAATAAAACCAAGCACAAAAACACTTATAAAAGATAAAAAAATAAAATTATAAGAATCAAAAAAAAATACTACCACACCAAGAAAAATCAAAAAAACCACTTAAAATAAAAACAAGAAAAAAATAAAAACAAAAAAGGATTAAAAAAAATAACAAAACAATAAAAAATCAAAAATACAAACTGATAAAACCCACTAATTACAAATTAGACATTCTATAATTAAACTAAAACAGCTATTAAAAAACAGAAAGTAAACCAACACAAAACAACAAATAAACAAAATAATCATAATACTTCAAACCATAATTATAACTTAATATAGAAACCAAAAAAAACAAATAACCAACACCTAACGACATTAAAGGTATAATAACCAAAATAAATAAATAATAATAACCAACAAACTCAAAAGAACCAAAAAACAATAACACCTTCAAAAAAAAAGTAATACTCATAGGAACATTAAAAAAAACCATCAACATTTCCAAACTAAAAAAATTTAAATTGTTATTGTAAACATAAGAAATAACTACAACCATAATAAAATAATAAAAAAAAAATAAGTAAATAAACCTCATTAAAAGAAAACATACCCAACAACAACAATCAATTAAAAGACTCAGTGGAACCAACAACTAACATATCAACATAACCACGTAAAAAAAAAAACTGAAAATAACAAAAAATAACACCAAAAAATAAAAATAAAAAAAAAAATCACTACAAAAATTAACCAAAACAAAAAAATAAGGCAACTTCTGCAAAGTCAAAAACCACAAAATAAACCAACTCTTCATACCAGACAACACCCTAAACAACCAAAAATGAAAAGGAGCAGAACCAGATTTCAACATCAACAAAAAAAACTGCAACTTCCAATTATCAAAAACTAAAAAATAATATCCGCAAACTTCCTGAATAACATAATAATTAACCAAACAAGAAAAACTACTACCCTTAGACAAAAAATAAAAACAAAAGTACAAAC